TCTACATAATTTTAGTATATCTATTCGAACAATATTCAAAATGATTACAAATTAATCGATCATTTGACTTACGTAGTTATAAGATTAGTTAAACCTATTTTAGACCACTGTGCACACCGTGTGTACAATCATACTTAGCTATTATCAGTTATTTTGACTAAAGTATTCAAAAAATGGCTACTTCAACCGTGTTCGAAAAAAGTCGTGGTTTCGAATAATAATATAAATAAAATATAATCAAATAAATCAAATAATAAATATAATAAATAAAATATAATCAAATAAATCAAATAATAATATAAAATAAAATAAAAATCAAATAAAACACACCCTTCATAGTGTTGTAAGTAGATAATGATTTTCAAGTGTTCGTATTACTCATCGTTACAATCATAATCATTATTGTGATCATCGTATATTAGTACTTTTATTTCTTATGTGTTTGTTACACACGTGTGCTACAAAGAGGAAAATAGAAAAAGAGAGAGAGAAAGAGAGAGAGAGAGAAAAAGTTGAAAGTAAAAAAGGAAGGTGGGGTTCTTTCAAAGTACTCTCTTTTACGATCATGTCGGATACTTTCAGTCGACTTTGTGATATCGTGAAGTGTGTTTCGTGTTCTTTTTTTTTTTTTTTTTAAATTCATTAAAATCCTTTATACGCGTTTAGTAACATCACAAATATAATAATAGTTTTTTTTTTTTTTCGTTTACATATGTATTCGTTACTTTCTATCTTACTTACTTGTTTTCACCTTACTATTTCTCTTTTTATATTTTTATTCAAATGATTTGTTGTTTAATGTAAAATTATCAAAGACGTGTTTGTATTTTTTTTCTCCATCTTTTTTATTTCAATGATTCTCTACAGATTATAATTTGATTACTCGACGTACAGAACGTGTAAAAAGTTAAAGAAAGAACCATAAAAGAGAAACAAAGAAAGAAAGAAAAGATTTCGCATTAGCATTCAAAATTAACACATTTTTTTTTATTACTCCTTTATAACCTAAAAAAAAAAAATTAAACTAATGTTATAAATCAGAAAAAATAGAAAAAGTTGTACATTGTAAAGTTTAACAAGAAAGAAAGTGAGTATATATTACGTACATATTTAAAAGTACATACGTTCATCTTTGGTTGTTTATTATTATTATTATTATTTTTTTTATTTAATAATAATTTTTTTTTAACGCGCTCCAAATCTTACAGAAAAGTATTAGAGCGTGTTTTACAGGGGTCTACCGTTTTAACGAGATTTTAATTAATAATGATATTATATTTAGATAAGTAGCAGTATACATATATATATATATAAGATGTACTCAATTTATTTATTTTATCAACATTAAATCTTCGATATAAAAGAAATCGAGAGAGAGAGAGAGAGAGAGAGAAAAGAATCAAGAGAATATGTTTAACAGTATTCTATTAATTTCTGGTTGCGTGTTAACTGGAAATTAATCATATGACTAATCTACTTTCTAACGATGTAAAACTTCGATGCATTTCTATTTTTTTCATTTAATTTTATTTTTATTTATATATTTAAGTTTTTTTTTATACACCTGTATAAATGAAAATGTAACATAACATGCTTGAGTGTAATAAAATAATGATGTATTGGAAATAATTATACATTAAGTTATCAATCTTCATGTTTGTAGGTTATACATTAAGGTTAGGTTATACAGTTAACAACCTTCAATAATGTTGGTTGGTTGTTTAACCTGAAATTTGTAATTATGTAAATGTAATTGAAAAATGTTCATTGATTTTTAATAATTTAATAACAATTAATGTAATTAATTTGTAGTTTTAATAGTTTGTATAATATACAGTGTAGTATATTTGTGTTTGTTCTTGTTGTTTGATCACATATTATACAGTTGAAAAGTTTACAATTGAATTTGTTACGATAATTTAGACCAAGAGAGATTAGAATTAGATTTTAATATTAGATTTCAAATTTTTAAATTTACAGTTTATCATATAACAAAAATACATCGATACAAAGTAGAACAAATGACAAAGAAAAATATAGAAAACGAAAGGTGAAACAAATAAATAAACAAACAACGTTTTTTTAATTAATGTTTGGTTAATATATTTTTTTGTTTTAATCGATTAATTTAAAAGCTCTAAGATTATAAACAATTTGCAAATACGTAGTTCTAGTTAAAGTTCGATGCTATGCGAGTTAACTGGTACAACGAAAGGTTCGGGTCCAGAAATACACCAGGGTGGCGTGACTTGGTAATTTTGAGCGTTGATGGTAGTGGTGGTGGTGGACGATAAATGTTCGAATATCGAAACAGTACGACGTAGCTAGTACTATAATCATGTCCAGAAGGATTTATGAAAATGACGTTTTGTATTCTATTCGAAAGAGACATTCTAAACGACATATTTTCAATAAGAAACAAATATATTTATATATACAGTAAAATATATTACAGACACATGCCCTTTTTTATTTTTAAAAAGAACTCAAGCTCTTATCCTATATATAATAAAAAAAAAAAAAAATTAAAGTAAGGTAATAAAAAATAAATTAGAGCACCACTGTATATTATCCCCCCCACTACCACCCACCCTCTCTTTAATATTATGCAACTTTTGTTTCAAACAATTTCTCGTACGATGAATAATTTACGAGTTATTTGAAATCGTCGTGTTAGGAAATTCAATCTGAAACTTTACCAACTTATTGTTAGCCATTCGTAAATTCATATTTTATCATAGTTATTTTCTAAATCAAATAATTTTTGAGTGTACAATAAAATGTAATTCTTTTTTGTTAATATACAGTCTCGTAAACGTTTAATTGTTTCGATTGAAATCTATGATAATTTTTGTCATGAATTAACTTGTATTACTGAGTATGTAACATACATGTATGTATATAACATATATGTATTTTTTTTTTGTTTTTTTTTTTTTAAATGAACATAAATGTATCGCACAGAAAACACAAGTGCATTGCAGCTGTGTGTGATAGGGTGAACACGAGAAAGAATCCTGTCGTGTTCGAGTCTCACTCTGCATTGCATCTAATATTACAGGACGAACCGAAATAAACTCTACTCGAGATACTTTATCATCAATGTGTGTTATATGTAAACTCATACGTATACGCATTATATGCCAATTCTACTACGCAATCGGTGAAGTGTGTGTAACTGTGTGAACGATGCAGCTAGTGCTACACATACACACAGATATACACACAAACATTAACACATTGAAGAGAAAAGAGTCTTCTATGTCGAGTTCTCTGACTCGCGTAGTACGTTCATTACATTTCTCTTTTGATTACTTATTTGTACACAAAGCTATACAACTTCGTTCGTATTTCACATTCTCAAAGCATTTATATGCATTTTTTCTCTTTGACTTTTATTTCCTTTTGTTGACTCTTTTTTCATTCTCATTCTGTTTTCACATCTCATAAAAGATCAATGATGAACATTTCAAATCTCAATAGGAATAATCAATATTGATTTAGTTTAATGATCATGTTAATCAAACTAACTGTATATTAATTCATTCTTTGTATTACTTTTTCGTTAATTTGAACAAAAATTTCATAGAATATACAATAAATACATTAGAATGAAATAATTACATCTTGATATTATATCATTCATTCGTTCATGTTCAATTTTCAATGAAATTCATACTTTAACACTAGATATACCACCATTTTCTACCACACTAGTCAAAATGACTGATGTATACAAAAAAATGCTTGTTGAGAATTCCAGTCTTTATTTATTCTTAAAAAATAACAAAAAATGTTTAACAATAATAATTTTAATAGATAAATGAATTTATAGACATTTTTAAGTAACAAAACGCATAATTATTTACAGAAATCGAATGTTACATAAGTAGAAATTTTGAATTGAAATGGCCCGACTAGTCAAAATGATTGGTCTGATATATCTAGTGTTAAACGTTGTATTCAAGAATTGTTATCGAAAACCAAAAAGAATAATAAAAGTTACCATAAACGATTACTCAATCAAAACTGGTAATAGGTTTTTGTTTGACCGATTGGTGACTTCGATCGATACCATTTATAGTATATCAATATTCGCTGAATACTATTTTTAGAAGTTTCTGTCTCGTATTCTAACGATGCAAACCACAAACGTGACCGAGTAACTCTCGCGACATGAGATATATGTAAATATAGTTACTTGATCAAAAGAATGTCTCCATGATTGTACAGGGGAAAGAGGAAATAATAGTTTGCTTCATCTAATCGTGAATGAAAGGATTCTAAAAATTCATTCTTTGATATAATCGTATGATTTCCATGTTTGAGTTGAAATTTTAACAAATGGGGGTGACTTTTACAAGATATCTTTGATTGTTAACACTTTAATGGCCGCACGTCTACGCAATCAAACGTCGTCAGGGGTCGGTAATATTTTTGAAAAATTAATTTTAAAAAAACTGAAATTAAATTTACGAAAAAATTAACAAAAAACAACGAACGATTTAACAACAAATTTAATTTTATATCATTTTAAATATATAAAAAGTTATAAATAAATAATGGTCAATAACGGTTGTTCCGGCTATCACACACATGTTGTGTAAGAGCGGCCATTAAAGTATTAAAGAAAATATTACAAGTAATTTGACTGGTTGTTTTTTTTTTTTTAAATACTCTTGAAAAATAAAGTATTTAAATGGAAGTAAAGAAATGATTCATCGTCAAAATTATCTCGTTTAGTATATTTTTTTTTTTTTTTTATATATACCTACACACTCATAATTCAGATAGTTTAGATAATTTGCATATCTCGCATCCTAGTTTGTTTCCGTAGTAATGGCAAAAAAGAGAAAAAAAAATGAGAATTTATACGTGCATTTTTATTTTTATTTGTTAGAGATTTTATCCGAAAATCGATGAAAAATAAATAAATAAATAACTAAATAAATAAAATGTAAAATCAATTGGAYTAATTAAAAATCTTCATTTTCTTTCAGAAATCATCAAATAAGCTGAGAAGAAATTTTTCCCACTGTCTTTCTCTACTAGAATCAAGAAAAATCATTTTAATTTACCAAAGTGGTTGTATAGAAAAAGAAGAGAAATGTAAACAGTTCGTGTAATCAAGAAACCAAAAAAAAAAAACAAAAGAAAAATTATATTAAAAAATTCGATTTAAACAATCGTGTTAACTTAACAATTTGAAATTCAACGTAAGAAAAAAATTCATCACAAAAAAATCTTAGCTTTAAGCTAAGTAATTATAAAAGTGATTTGAAAAAAGAAAACCAGAAACAAAAGGGACGCAATGAGGCGACTATATATAGGTGGTTACAGGATCACGTGGATTAAGGCTCGGCATAGTTCATCGTGGCCTTGGAGAAGGAGATTCTCAGGACAGTCAGCCTGAGATATGCCAGGATCGGCAACGGCAACGGCTTCTCCAATAGCAACAGAAACGGCTACGGCACGACATCATCACCATCATCATCATCGGCCGAGTGGTAGCCGGCAATTGCCGATACCGGCAATCGAGACGATAGAACACAGGGTTTTTGCAACCCGACGTGATCTTTTCGTATCTGCCACGGTCGATCCTCGTGCAAGTAGGGCCGTTCATTGTCCCGACTTGAACGCCTGTTTGATCAATGAATCGCGTATAGGCCTCGACGAGGTTGATTGTCGTGCCGTACACTTTGGTTACGCGATTCCTGTTAACATAATACCAATAAAGGATAATCCTGATTTGGCTGAGCTTGTTTTAGATCATACATCTGAGTTAAGTACAAGAACGACTAGTTTCTTATTGAATCATCATCCTCAACTTCGTCAACAACAACAACAACAACAACAACATTATCAAGAATTAAGGAAAGTACAGGAGTTAGAGGAAATACGTGTTAAGGAAAAAGAATATTGTCATCAGGTAGAAGAGGATAAATTCTTCAGTATGGCCGCAACGGCAAAACATGATCTTCGTAGAAAATTTCCTACGGATACTTCATCGTCAACGACATCATCGTCCGGTGACGAGGACATAGCAGCTATAGCGAAACAAATCAGCGATCATGCCGAAGCAATTTATCAAACATGGAAAAGTCGTGGTTTGGAACCTACGGAAATTTTAAACTGCCACAGTAATGCCACAGCTGCCGACAAATTTGGCAGTGCTTTGACACCCACAACTTCACCCGCTAATTCTAGTGGTAAAACTATCGAATCGTTAAATGCTACTACCACCAGTCCTACATCAGCGGTAGATATTCTCGTACAAACACCGAACTTGGACAATGGTAATTTAGAAAAGTTAGTGAACAATTTTGTAGTTGAGGATAAAGCTAGGATAGCCGCTTCTAACCAAAGATCGCCTTCTAAGACGTTGCCTTCATCAATTCAATTTGCCTTACAAAAATTTGAAAGAAATTCGACCCAACAAAATCAACAAACGTCACCGCTTAAAGGCAATGGTGGTTCTATCATTGGATCGGGCAACGTTATGAATCAAACTAAACAGACTACTAATTCATCTCTTATTCATTCGCCAACTTCTTCTTTTCCTAATAAACCATCCCAAATAATAAAACCTCAAGTTTCTACGAAAGTACCTAGCGCCCATCATCAAGAAGTATTCCTTGAAACTATTGAAACTACTTTTCCAGCTGATTTAACATCTCCTAAGATCGTACAACAAAAGAGACCGGCCAGTACCGTAATTTCATCCTTGATGAACTCTAATTTAAACTCTGACAATGCTAGCTCGAATCCAGGCTTGACCACGTGGCCATTAAAAAATAAATTGGCTGATGGTAAACGATCGAACGACAACAACAGTCCTACATCGGTTAAAACTATTCCGAGTAATCCTCAAGATACTAAGGTTACATCTGTGGTTAAAGATGTTAATAAAAGTACAGTTCGTGGTCGTTCGAATCGTTTTGTTTGCGATGAAGCTTTCCTCGATGAGGTGGCACGAGAAGAGGAAAGATTGATAAACGCATTAAAAACGGGTTCGGTGATAACGGAAGAACCATCTGAAAGAACAAGTTCATCCATATTTCAACTTGCCGCTCGACAAAAGCCAGCGATTAAGAAAGAAAAACCAAAAGTTGAACCGATCAAGCCAATTATTATTGGACATAATCACGAAGGAGTAACTTTAGTACCAACGTCAGCTACATTAGTTAACAATTTGACGACTTCGTCGATCGCCATTGGAAACAGTACGGATGGAACGACTAAATCTTTGAGTAAAAATGAACTTTCAAACATGTCTGCGGTAGATTATGCCAAAGTAAGGTATAGAGCGGCACAACAAAATTCACCAGCTCAGCAAAGACTCGAGGAACAGAAATCTATAGCTACGTTTAACACGACAGAACAATTAGTATCAAATGCTAGGTCTAAATTCGAATCAGAATTACGAAAGGATAATAATAAAGATGTAAACAATAAAGATGACAGAGATCCTATAACCTCGAGATGGGGTCCTAGGATAAATTCACCAAGGCCACGACTCGAACAAGTGCCACATCCCGAATTGACAACACAACAGAAACAACATATAAGAGCTGCTGCAGCTACGGGAACTGGAAACAATCCGGTCAGGCCGTTTCTCACAAGAGGTTCGGTTGCTGAACGTGTTTTGATCTTCGAAAAATGTCCTAGCGAATTATTATTGGACAAACGAGGTCCTCGTCCAACTGGTATCGCCACGTGGAGAACCGGACACGAGGTGCAGAGCAAGGTTCAGGTAATTAATTAATAAGATTGTTAACATTTAATTAGAATAACATTTTTGTTAAAAAAAAAAAAAAGACAAAATACGTGTACTTAACTTTTTAACTGTGCTAATTTCTCTTAGAAACAAAAAAAGTATGTGTTTTAATTGGTATGAAAGAAATTTTACAACCTAGGGTTAGAGGTTATATTTAGATGAAACTTTAACGAGGGATAATCTGTCTTGGAAAAACCCATCGCCTAAAAGAGAACAAAGCAACCCATTACAAGAATCTTATTTAAAAACACAGTTTCATTTATGGTAACATTTATACAGATATTTCACACGTGCTAAAACATATACACATAATTAAATCTTATTAGAAGATACTAATCTGAAAGATTTGATATTAAATTTCATTTCAAATTATTTTTTCTTCCTAAAAAAACAAATGTAAACAAAATCACTAAAGAAATTGTAGTAAAATCGATTGGTCCATTGATAGTGTGCAACTAAAAGTGCAATTAAACTTTCACCGAATGATGAATCCTCTTAGAAAAGGTTCTCTAACGTTGTCCAAAAAAGGCTTAACAAAATAAGAATGAAAGATTAAATGAGAACAAATCGAGATCTTTCAAGAAGTGTGTTTCGTGATTGAGAAAGGTAAAGCAAATAGTTGTGCCCTTCCTTTTTTCCCTACCCCCTCACTCTCATCCTCCTACACACATACACATTTAGTCAATCTTTTCAGTTCTTATTGTCTTGCAAAGTACGTATTACACATATATCGTACATTTTGGTCGACGTCCAAATTAATTCTTGGCAACTACAACGATGTTCCTGTCGAGTGTTCTCGATCTTTCGTACTTTTCTTTTTTTTTTTCTTATTATTTTTCCCCCAGAAAACGAGTTCAAGATCTTTCTTGTCTCATCATAAGTTCCTTCATATTCAATCTTTCTTCGAAGCTTTCTCACACATAAAAAAAATCAATTTTTTAGGTTTGGTATATAAATAAAAAATTGGCATATATTTTGAGTGCATAGTCTTTTCTTCTTAATAATAATAATAATAATAATAATAATAATAATTTTTATTAAATAATTTTATAAAATTTGTTAGCTGATAAAATTCTTTTCAAATAATTTCTTCTACAATTTTACTAAATTTGAAAACAAAACAAAAAAAGAAATGTATTTCCGTCTACTCCTCACTTCCCCCACTTTTGCCACAAAAAAAAATACAAATAACATTGAAACATTGAAAAAAATAAAAAGACAAATTATTACAATGAATGAAATTGTTTGGAGAAAAGTATTCATAATTGAAACAAATGTTAAAAATCTCGTTAAAGAATTTCTATTAAAAGAAGATAAATGGTGGAATAATATTATCTTTGGTGAAATTTAATATTTTTAGGTTAGGTGGAAGGAAGAAGTATGGTATGACGGAAGAAAAATAAAGTGTTAAATTGAAAAATATTAAACACACACACACACACACAGATAAATTAGATCCATGTAGTTACATACTGGTGTATTTATTTGGAATTGATGAAATTAATTTTGATTGATAGTATATTGGATAGAAATTTTTATATTTCAATATTTTTCATAATAATTTACATATCAGACTGTATAATTTTTTTATTTTATCGTAATTGAAATCACTTCTGAATTTATGTCCATATATTTTAAAACACACGTATATTAGATGGACCGGAAAGCAATGTTGCTTTTTAACCTCAAAATTCAAACAAATTTTTATTATTAATCAATAATCAAATTAATTAATTAATCAAATTATCAACAACCCTTTTCTATCTGGTATGCAAATTTTTAATATATCGTAACGATAAAAATCATCAATTGGTTTCTTGATTTAAAATATTAGAAATAATTTGACATGCGTAGTAACAACATTACATATTTTTCAGTCCCCATAATATATATATATATATATACTAGGGGTGCCCCGCCACGCGTTGCTGTGGCTCACAATCAGTCCGATACACACGTCTTTAAGTCAACGAATTACCTTACACCGCCATCTTTTAGAATCTTATCGAACTAACAGAAATAATCATGACTCCTTGTTAATAAACAAATAATTCGCAATAAGATAATATTGCGATTATAAATTGAAATATAAACTATCCTATCTTTCAAGTTGGATGAAACTGCACACAGTGTGCAAAATTTGATTAAAATCGGTTCAATAGTTTAGGAGTCCATTGCGGACAAACAACGTGACACGTAATTTTTATATATATATATATTAAGAAGATATACGAAAAGAGTTTTACTTACGATTAGGCACGTCTATTATTTAACATAAGTGGACTTACCTCATCAATCGTTTGATCGATAAATATTGTTTCGAATAGATTCTTTTAAAAGGGTTGGAAAAGGGAGTGGAGGTACTTCACGTGACCTTTGAGATCAATCAAAAAGATAAAGAAAGAAAATAGAATCGCGATTAGGTCAATTTATTTCAAGAAAAAGTATTATTCTCTCTTATTGTTTTTAAAAATAGATTAACAATATAAAAATGGATTTTTATTCAATATTATTTACAAATGTTCTAAATTTTACGTGAATATTTTTTTTTAATTTTTTTTCTAATTGTTTTCGTTAAAATATGACAATTTAAATGTGACGTTTAAAAAAACAAACAAACAAACAAACAATCGATCGTTCGTTAACCGAGAATTGTGATCGTAGAACAACAACAACAACTTCTTATTCGCAATAATGTATTACTCAATGTTTCAACAATGCAGTCGACGTTTGTCGAAAAGTGGGCTTGGCTCGAGAAACGTCATTGTCCACACAAAGATCATTATGTTCTTATAACGTTTACAGTAAAAGGAGACACAGATAATATAGTATATATATATATATATATATATAGATAATATAAAAGGGAATAGAAAAAGTATAAAAAAACTTTTTCCTCGAGTAAAACTACCAACTACGAATCAAATTTTCTCTCTCTCTGATTCAATGCTGATAAAGAATTTATAAGAATTTGTTTTTATTTTTATTTTTTTTTTATTGCATTTCCTTTTATATTAGTTGTTTGTTTGACTATGAGAGTTATTTTAAGAAAGTGACTTTGATATATTTTTTTTATTGATTTATTCTTAGTTTTTTTTTTCTTAGAAATAATAATAATAATAATATATATATAATTTTTTATTGCATTTCCTTTTATACTAGTTGTTCGTTTGATTGTGGCAGTTATTTTAAAAAAGTGACTTTGATATATGTTTTTATTGATTTATTCTTAGTTTTTTTTTTTTTTATATAAATTATATAATATATTAAAATAATAAAAATTAATAATAAAAATATTTCTTATAAATAATAATAATAATAATAATAATAATAATAATAATAATTTTTTATTGCATTTCCTTTTATACTAGTTGTTCGTTTGATTGTGACAGTTATTTTAAAAAAGTGACTTTGATATATGTTTTAATTGATTTATTCTTAGTTTTTTTTTTTTTATAAATAATAATATATTAAAATAATAAAAATATTTCTTATAAATAATAATAATAATAATAATAACAATAATATATATATTTTTACAATAATAATAATTGATAAATAATTGTTTAACGACTTGTGTAGTGAATATAAGGATAAAATATTTGTTTGACAAGAGCTCCTCTTTCTTAGAAATTAATTTTTTGGTGTATTATTATTGTTATTATTATTTTTTTTTTTTTTTTACTAAGTAATAACTTAATAACATTAATTATCGATCGAAACTCGTGATATTTGTTTGGACGTATTATTCGCGTGGGTGTATAATAGTAGAAACTCACTTGTATAAGAGTGGTGGTGAAAGTATCTCCTTGTAAAGTGACTCTCCCATATATGAGAAAGAGAGCGAGAGAGAAAGAGAAAGAGAAAGAGAGAGAGAGAGAGAGAAGGAGACGTAATTAGACGAATAATAATATTCATAGAATTCGAACGAAGTTTCAACTAATTCGTATAAATTTTATTATATCGAATATCAACGTGGTAATAAAATTAAAAAAAAAAAAAAAAGAAAAAAAGAAATAAAAAAAAAAAAGATTTGATTTCTATCAAAAAGAACATTTTTGTATTTTATTTTATTTACTTTTATTTTAGTTGTTTTTTTTTTTTTTTATTACGTTAATAAGGAAAAAAAAAGATATTCATATAAATTATTAAAGTGTTACCTGACTAACGTAGTACTTATTACCAATCAAAAGGATTTTATTTCTTATAACTTATGATTGATACTAATGCAATTGGTAAAAGTAAATGGAAAAGGAAAAAGTCACGAACAAAAGTTTTTTCACAATTTAAATGATATTCTTCTTCTTCTTTAATTTTTATACTTTTTTTCTTAGATCATCTCCTTGTTTTTTTTTTTTTTTTGTTCAATTGAAATTGATCGAAAGAAGAAAAAAACTCGTTAAGTTAATTCGAAAAGTTTTCTTATTTGTCCTTAAAAAAAACTTTTCTTATTCCATTAATTTTTTTTTTTTTTTTAATTATTTCTCTCCTTTTTTTTTCTCCTCGATGTTATCAGAAACACTTTGTATCCTGTTTCTCTAAAGAGAGAAAAAGGGTTCGTGACTTCCAGAAAAGGCTAAGAACGTAGTAGTAAACTCTCTCGTACGATTTAATTAATTTGATCGAGGAAGAAAAATGTTGATTCGCTTGGCATCGTTGTAGTTGTTTATATTTGGTAAATGCTGACTCATTCTGGGTGAAAGATTGTGATCTTGCGTTAGGATTAATGTTGATCGATAAGTGTAAAAAAAGAAAAAGGCAGAGTGAGAGAGAAAGAGAAAGAGAGAGAGAGAGAGAGAGAGAGAGAAGTAAAAGTAACATAAAACAAATTTGACATAAAAGATCACAACACAACCATAATTGGAAAGTAACGACGTTTGTCACGCTTCGATAAAAAATTGTCAACCAATTTAAAAAAAAAGGAAATATAATTAATTTACATATTAAAATTATATTTATATAATTATTATTATATTTTATTATATAATTATTATAAATAATCACTGTTACGTTGATGTGTTCACTGGGTATATTAGGGGGACCGAAAAGTAATGTTGTTACTACGCATGTCAAATTATTTCTAATATTTTAAATCAAAAAATCGATTGATGATTTTTATCGTTACGATATATTAAAAATTTGCATACGTGATTAATTAATTTAGTTTTAATTAATTTAATTATTGATTAATAATAACAACTTGTTGGAAATATTTAATTGTTTGAATTTTGAGGTTAAAAATCGACACTACTTTCCACTTAAAATATGTTATATACATTACTAAATTGCATAAATATTATATTGAAAATATAAAACAAGTAAAATCACATTGTAATAAAATTATCTTGAGACATTTCAATTAGTTAACCTAAAAATTTTGTTATTTATTATTTTACAGAAACAACCCTTAGTAAAAAATTATATTTTTCTTTAAAACATATATATGTAATAAATCATAGATAATTTTACCAAGGTTATTTGTTTTAAAAAGATTAGAAAATAATTACTATTTGTATGTGTTTTAATTTTAAATAATATATATTATTATCTTTAATTATTACATTCAAGATTTCAATGATGTTGTTTCTTATTATTAGTCATCCTGACTGAGACATAAATTTCATTCAATTAATTTTACTTCTTCCTACTATAATCCCGTGTCAGTATGTTAATCAGATGATCAACGAAACAAGTTCTTCTTCCTCGTAAGATAATTCGTAAAAAGAAAAGAAGAAGAAGAGAGACATTTAAATCTCATTTAAAAATATTTCAATTCTCTTGTGTGTGCATAAATGTATATACAAGAAAACTTTCAGATGGCAGGTATATATATATATATATATATATACATACATACTTAAATGCATATACATGTGCATAATCGTATATTATAGTTGAATCATGATGTAACCGGTCACACAGGGGGCCTCAAGGTGCGGCAACGCATTTAACTGGCATTGTCGGCCTCTTTGAATTCTTCGGATCCTTCTTACAGCATCTCGCGTAACAGGAAGTCGCGTCCTTGGGTTTATCGTCGATATAATTACGATGGAATGTCAATTTCGCATAGAACCTCGAAGCAGAATGATTTATTGACAACACAATGAAATATAACAATATCTTATTTTAAACCCTTAACACATCTATTACTTATATTTAATCCTTAATTATAGTCATGTAACCTTAAAAGTAAGATACTTTTATGACCTATATTTTTTAAATGTTCTATTTTAGTTAATAACTAAATTATACAGTAAATACATTGGAATAGAATAATTACATCTTGATATTATATCATTCATTCGTTCATGTTCAATTTTCAATGAAATTCATACTTTAACACTAGATATACCACCATTTTCTACCACACTAGTCAAAATGACTGATGTATACAAAAAAATGCTTGTTGAGRATTCCAGTCTTTATTTACTCTTAAAAAATAACAAAAAATGTTTAACAATAATAATTTTAATAGATAAATAAATTTATAGACATTCTTAAATAACAAAAAGCTTAATTTTAAATAAAGCTTAACTTTAATAAGCTGTATTTTTTAAATGTTCTATTTTAGTTAATAACTAGTTTTGTTAATAACTATTTTAGTTAACAAATCTAGTTTATTTTTTATACATGTATTATAAAAATAATATATTATATATTTATATAATATAATTTTGTAGATAACAAATTAGATTTTTACAATTAAAGAGAAAACTCAACCCTGACACAAATACTTTTTCTTTTTGTTTCTTTATATAACAATCTGATGTTTTCTTYTCAGATTGTTATTTGTTCATCGATCGATCGATTGATTTTATTTTTCTTTTGTTTTTTTTTTCAGAGTTACGTAAAGGAAAAGACACAGCAAAAAAATTTACCACCACATACTACGTTACAGAGGCACGTGAAGGCGAACAGAAATGTTCACATACCTCGGTATATATTACTACTACTACTACTACTACTATTACTATTATTCTTAGAAAATTTCAATAGAGATACTTTAATCATCGACGATACACAAGTAAGATGTTTATATTTTTTTACACGTATATTTCTTTATTGAAGATTCTACTTCCCTGGCGGCAAACCCACACCTCTTTCTCAACTGGAGGCTACCATTTCAAGAATTACTACGGCATTTCAAAGTTTGCCAGGTCATCGTGTCTCTCGTGCACAATTTCACTTGATCACGAAGGTTTCTAAAGAAAATCCTTGAAAATATTTCTATCTATTATTATTTTCATCATAGATCAATTTATTTCATTAATATCATATTCATTTTAGGCCTGTGATTTACCCTTATATTGGAAGGTACCACTTTTCCTTGCTGCTAATAAAGATCAGACCGAATTTGTTGAGATGAGCACTTTCCTTGAATTTTGGAAAGAGTAAGAAATTATTTACAATAACACAAAACATTAAATAATTAATGTTTTATCATAAAAACCTTGTATATTTCTTTTGTGTGTATAGGATAACGAGTACTCATCATGATGCAGCTAGTAAATTCATTAGAATCACTACACGAGGTCTAAGAAATAACATATTACCTGAAGATTTGATTCCTTTGGTACAAGATGTCGTTGAAACGCATCCAGGATTAACATTTTTAAAAGAAGCAAAGGAATTTCATTCACGTTACGTTCACACGGTTTGTTATTAACAACTGTTATTTTTCTTTTTTGAAAATTATGAAATCTTGTTAAAAAAAAAAACAAAAAACAAAAAAAAACAATGAATTATTCTAATTACAGGTAATCGCGAGGATATTTTATTGTGTCAATCGTAGTTGGAGCGGAAAGATATCGGTAGCTGAATTACGAAGGAGTAATCTTTTAGCGGTAATAGCTGTTCTCGAACATGAAGAAGACATTAATCAGGTGACCGCATACTTCAGTTACGAACATTTCTATGTAATTTATTGCAAATTCTGGGAATTGGATCGCGATCATGATCTTTTCATCGATAAAATGGATCTGGCAAGACACAACGATAACGGTGAGAATTATTTCTAAAAGAGATTATTTAAGATAAAGTATTATAAACAAAAAGTGATGTTAACTTTAAACGTTTTACGTGTTAACAGCATTATCTACGCGAATGATCGAACGGATATTTAGCGGAGCAGTTACGAGAGGTGGTGTTAAAAGTGGTGGTGTTATTCAACAACCAGAAGATAAAATGAGTTACACAGAATTTGTATGGTTTCTTCTAAGTGAAGAAGATAAGAATCATCCAACTGCTATCGAGTATTGGTTTAGGTATATAAATTATTATTAAAATACATATTTAGAAATATTTAATGAAACATTAATAATAATGTATAATTTAATATGTATTTTAAATAGATGTATGGATCTTGATGGAGATGGTTATCTGTCCATGTTTGAGTTAGAATATTTTTATGAAGAACAATTGCATCGTATGGAAGGTATAGGACTTGAAACTCTACCTTTTGAAGATTGCCTCTGTCAGGTATATATTCAAATTAATTAACTTAAAAAAGTTAATTAATGTATTTAATATCAATATTATTTTTTTTTTTTTTAGATGTTAGATATGATTCATCCAGCAACGCCGGGAAAAATTTCTTTGAGTGATTTAAAAAAATGTAAAATGACATCAATCTTTTTTGATACATTCTTTAATTTAGAAAAATATCTCGATCACGAGCAGAGAGATCCATTTGCTTCGGCACGTGATGGTCATGAGGTATGAATTATATATCTTAATTATAATTTTAGAACTAATTAGAAACATATACGCTCATTGGATATGTTTAATAAAATTTCATGATCATTTGCAGATGTCCGATTGGGATCGATTTGCGGCAGAAGAATACGAATTATTAGTTGCCGAAGAGAGTGGTAATGACCAAAAGGATCAAACGTAAGTATTTTGTCCTTGATACATAAATAATTCAATTATTATTAACCTTTGATATAAATTAAGTCATAGTTTTCATTGAAATTTTTGAATTCTTTTTAAACAACATTTTAATATAAAGTATGTATAAATATGTTATTTAAAAAAGAAAAGAAAAAATGATTTATAAAAAGTTTACTTTTATTATAATAGAATAATTCTGGCTTTTCTTCAGTGCAACTACTACTATGAGAAAAAAAAATGAATTTCATAGTCATTGATTTTTCGCTCGTTCTTTCTGGCATGCACAACTTTCAACTTAGTTAGTTTGTTAATTAAAAGGATCTAACATAGTATTATACGTCTTTCTCCTTTTTATCATAATAGTGTAATGATATTGGTGCGATATATGCGTTTATTGCAGGCTGTGTGATGATGAAACGTAACCATCATCTACAGCTGAGTAAGTAAATACCACAGTTGCATGCACCCGTAAAAAGATGCATGTTGGCTGGATACATTAGATGCAAAAATAACGGATTAAATAGAGATAATAATCTGCTTCTGTATATGCATGAGGAGTTAGTTTTTTTTTTTTTTTTTTTCATTTACTTTTGTTACAATTTAGAATGACCAATTGCAATATGCAATTATCGAATAACTGTTTAATTTATTTGTGTTTTTTTTCTGTTTATGTATATTACTTTGTTACGCCTTGTAAACATTATGATAAACAATGAACTTTTGTACCTGTTCATATATAATATTTATTTATCATGCGTGAATTATTTTTATGTTAAATTTATTGCTTTCATTCATAAGAAAATAATATAATGCTACATTTAGTATGATATAATTAATAACATTTGAATTACATTTGATAACATCTGATATAATAATTATTTATTTCACAGATCTTACGATTCAACTTCAGAAGATACATTTTCGCCAAATCTCGATATCCTAGCTGGTGAACCAGTGGATGTTGTATCTCAGGGTGCAGATATTTTGTCAAAAACTCATCATGACAATCTGGCATCATCTATCGCTCGTGACCAGTCAAGAAATCAACATTATGATAGTGGTGACAGTGATGATTACGCTGATAGCGATAATTAAATTGATTATATCTGAATCTCTATACACTCACAAAAATGTTGAGGAGGTTGTGTGCATTTACTTTTTATTATTTTATTTTATTTTTTAAATTAAAGAATTGAAAACAAAACAAAACAAAACAAAAAAAAAGAAAGAAACAGCAACTTGAACTCTTAGCTGTGTTTATTTATATGTATAAATAATATATAATATATATCTATGCATATATATATATATATATATTATTCTGTTAAATAGTAAATGAGAGGACACAACCATGAAACCTTGTTTATAAGGTCCAGTAAATATACCAGCAAATGAAATATTAGCCAAAAATAAAAACTATTAGTGTGACAACGTTATGTCGTGTGTACGATGTAATAATAGAGATGTGTCATCTTAAAAAACATACAAACTATCGCAGTATTAATGATCACGAAATGATTCTCAGTATGTCTGTGAATTATTTGACCGTGTCGTGTAGTGAGTGCAAGTTCATAAGTTAAACAAATTACCGAGTCATGTATCAATTCGGTGAATGTAATTAAAAATAAACGTTGCTCATTCCAATGTGCAATAATAAACAAAAAGAAAAAGAAAACGAATAAATCATATTAAAGAAAAACTTATCTCGCCGAGATTTACATGATATTAATAATTATTTAATTTACGTAAGACATATATTTAAACTGAATTATCTATCCTTAATCACAAATTTTTCTAACAAAAATCATAGTAATTTATATTACATGCTAATAATGTTCATTCATTGTATATAGAGACACATATTTTTTCATTGTGTCTATAGCACCGAATTGATTCACAACTTAATAATAATAATAATAAAAAAAATAAAAAAAAGAAAAGATAACTAAATTTTGGTCGTTGCTTGGCCATGTGATACATATTATTGTTCAACGTGCAGAATAATACTTTGTGTACTTCAGGCTGTAAAGTTATTGATGTTCAGGTTATTGATTTTTATTTTTGACTTATCGTAGAGAGACAATTTTAAAATATGCTAAATTTTTCCAATTATTGCAGTCTATATTATATAATAGATCTTTTAGATATTTATTGTTTCGAATAGTGTTTAATTGTTAACATATATCACTGTTATATTTTATTATTTCATTTAATTCTTTTCACATCACTCTTTTTATAAAATATTTATTAAGCATTCTATATAGTTAATATAAATAAATATAAACGATGATATTATATTATTTAAAAAGATATTTATATCGGTTAACTTTTGGAGACTGCATTAATCGGAAATGATTTTGCAAAAAAAGAAATATTGTTACCATCGAATGATATTAGCAACACTAAATCCCCCCTCATCCCCGTAAATATTTCTTGCCATTTATTATCATTATTATTATTACTATTATTATTATTATTATTATTATTATTATTATTATTATTATTATTATTATTATTATTATTATATAAAACGTTGAAAATTCTTCGTAATAATTAATATTTATATATACTGATTATATAGAAAATTGGATATTTATAAATGGTATATATATATATACATTTCTCTCCTTTTATATCAATGCTGATCTAATTTCATTAAAATGATATAATATTTCGGTGTTCAAGAGGAGGAAGGAATTATTATCCTATCAGTCTTAACATTTTCATTTATATATTCCCAAAAAGTAATATATATCTGTATATATTATCATATCACATACAATCGTTACTTAAACAAACAAAAAGTATAATGTATTTTAAAATTGAAACATAAAGAAAATGATAAGTTATGGTAGGAATAAAACTATGTGACACGAATAAGTAGCAAGATGATCATGAAGTAAGCAAATGTTTTTTACTTATAATAATAAACATCATATCTATAATTAGATATATCAAAATAAATTTCACAACAAAAAGATATAATCATTTATAATAATTAATGTTTCAAATATTCGAAACAATTTGTTTGAAAAAAATTTGACACAATTTAATATATTTAATTTATAAATGTGAAGAGATAAAACTTATTACCTTCCTCCACACAATTAACGTCATGAAAAGCAATAAACAAAAGTACATCTGTACAACAAGATATACTTTTCTCTCTCTTTTTTTATTTTTTTTTTTTAAATGGAATTATCTAATGAAACAATTATTTTGTGTTGATTTCATAAAAAAATTCAAAGTATCATCAAATAGAACTATAAGAAATAATTTTAAATTGTATTATATTTCATCTTGTCTGAATTATGCTACCCTGCAGCATTGAACAAAAACAAAGTTATATATATATATNTATATATATATATATATATATATATATATATGTAACTTTATGAATCTTTTTCTACTTATTCGTAACTTTTTATGAAAGGATATTGTTTTACTGTGAAAACATATCATATTTATCAAATAGTAAAGATTAACAATCATACCCTATTGTATTACGTGTAATAAATAGATGATTATTTGTAAAATGCTCAAACAGGGTAGTATTTTTACTTCGTATTTTTATCTTTTACAAACAAACACACACACATACAGGACACGGATGTCGTCGTGTTATTCAAGAATAAAAAATGACTATTATATTGTATAATATTGCTGCAAGAAGATGAATAAGCCAAAGATGTGACACATTTCGCTTAACCTGAACATTAAGAATAGAGAATTATTTTCTCACTAATAATTCGTACACGTATAGTAGAATATTGTAAGTACGAATCATACATTGATGTCGTTTTCTTCCTGCTCAATGATCTGATGTCATTTAATTCTATGTAAACAAAAAGACACCTACAGACGTATTACAAAAAAAAAGAAAAAAAAAAATGTCTTTTGAGAGAGAAAAAAAAAATAAAAGAAAAGAAAAGAAAAGAAACAAAAGAAAAATAATAAATAATAATCGACGATAAACTGAATGTAAACTATATTTTTAGTAAAAAAAAAAAAAAAAATTACAAAAGGGGGAAAAAAAGGAGTTGGAAAATCTCAAATTTCAAATATAAAACTTTCGTGAAAGTCATCGCGTCAAAAATATTTTTAGTACAGGTTTTTAAATATAAAGTATTTTGCCATAGGAGACCAAGGTATATTCCATAGGTTTGCGTTACAAAGACTGCAGAATTGTATATATTACTTTTGTCTCCAAATATACTTGAATTAAATTGCGTAAAATGTTATACTCTAGTCTAAACGTGTGCTAAAACTTGTATACCTTTTGTGGGCACATGTCGCGAATATAATCGTAAGATGTATTATATTATTTGTTTTAAACCAAACGGAACTAACTTTATGCAAATTGAATTATACGTTGTAAAGTTCTGTATTTTTAATAGAATTTTATGTAGAATATTTAAGGACAGTACTTTAATACCAATAGTTGATAGATGTGATTTTTTATTGTTCTTGTTAATTATGTACTTGTTACTCTGTTATTATCTATTTACATTGAATTAATTATCTTGAAATTTATTTACATCATTTATCATTGTATAGTTTTATCAACTACTGGCATAACGCTGTCCATTATAATACTATTTTATGTGGCTCTCGCATAAGAATTAAGAATATTCTAGTGATATTGTTTTCTTTTCTCTTTTCTCTTTNTTTTTTTTTTTTTTTTTTTTTTTTTTTTTTTTTTATTCGTATAAAAATGTGCTTTGTATATTTTACAAAACTTATTTTACAAAGGTCAACACACCTTATGTAGAATTTATTTAATCTATTTGGTGCTTCCTTGTTATACAGAAATATCATCTGTAAAAGGGAGTTGCTTTTGTTGATTATCCAAAGATATAACTATATAAAGTTTGTTTACTTACATCTTTTATAAGTCGTTATGGTTTTTACTATATATATATATATAGTATATATATATATATATGTAATAATAAAATATATATATACTATTCTATATGTACTTTTCTATATGTTGCCCTTGTAACATCATGTTCAAATTAAATTACTGTTAAGAAAAAAAAAAGTCATCGAAATGATAAAACATCATAAATTATATATATATATGTTTACGTTTGACAATACTCTTTATTGTTACATTCATTCATTATTTTAATGTTAGGTTTGTTCTCTGTTCTCTTATGTGAAATATTTACACTATGCTATGTATTTATGTTTCCATAATAATGTGCTGCAGAAGATAGTCAATTTATCCTTTTATTACTCGCATCAGATATATATATATATATAAATATATATATGTATACTACATATAACGTAGATTTTTATTTTTATGATATTTATTGATTGCCTAATTATATATTTATTCTTATCAATATCTTTCAGAAAATATATCACGTCTTTTGAAGTCTTAAAAAAAAAAATGATTAACAGACTTGAATCAAAAAGACGTTACTGTAAAAAATGTATTCATTGAATAGTACTGTGATCATTTAACAAATATATTTATAAAAATATTCAATAATATCTTACGCGAGTAACGGAAGGTTAATAAAAAAAAAAAAAATAATAATAATAATGATAAATTAGCTAGCATAATCCAAACAAAATCGAAATTCATACACGCATGATTAGATGCCTCGAACATAGACTTATGTTTAACATTTATTTACATTTTTATTTATATAGCATAATCCAAACAAAATCGAAATTCATACACGCATGATTAGATGCCTCGAACATAGACTTATGTTTAATGTTTATTTACATTTTTATTTACAAAAAAAAATAAAAAAAAAAGAATTGATTTGTTTCCCAGATAGCGCTGGTTGGCTTTTTGATTGAATTCCNATATATATATATATATATATATATATATATATATATATATATATATTTTATATGTGCATGAGTAGAAGAATAAGATAATTTTGCAAGTTAATAAAAACAAATGAAGAAAAAAAAAAAAGAAAAAAAAATTATATCGTTAAATGATGTATTCTAATTAATCAAAAATCATTTTCAGATATATTATTTCAACTGTTACCAAATATATTATTGTAAGTATATATATATATATATAAGAATATAATTCATATATTTTTAATTTATTTATGATAATATTTACAATCTTATAGGTAAATAAAAAAGAAATTTAAAGAATGAAATAAATGATTGTGAGTGTATGGAAAAATATAATCAACATATAGACAACTTTTTATTTATTATATTCTATTTTTATTGCTGAGAATTTGTTAGATGTATTATATAAAGAAACAGTATATGTATATATACATAAAAGTAGAACTTTAAAGTTTATATAATATGTCAAAATATATTATCAACAAACTATGTTATTACTATCACACTTTTTTTATAAACTATCAAAATGTACATTTTTGTATGCATATATCTTTTTCAAAGATTCTAACTGAATGAAATGTAAAAAAAAAAAAAGAAAAAAAAAGAAAAAAAGTGAATCATATCGTTATAATTATTTTATAAAAGTGTATTATTATTAAATAGAAAATTTCTATTTAATTTTCATTATGACAGATTATGAATACAAAAAAGACTTATTATCACATTTCATTTGATACTACTTTTCGATACTTAGTATGTCCTTATAGTTAGGTATTATTAATTATTAATAAATCGTTAAAAGAGAGTAATAACACGTACATATACAAAATATTATTACATTGCTTTTTGATTTGATAATAATATAGGTACATACGTTTAAATATATACCACGTTACATTAGCATTATCAATAAATATTATTTCTACTTGTAAAATATCTATAAAAGAATATTTATGATATAATTATTATGATTATTATTATTATTATTGTTATATATATATTAATATTTTTGATTAGATAAAAAAACACAAAAATCTGCAAATATTTAATCTGTTAATGTAACAGGATATGATAACAAACGTATAAGTAATTATTCATTTTAGTTTAGAAGAAAAAAGGATTAACAGAATTAAAAGTTTCTTTTTTTTTTTTTTTTCTTTTAAGCTTGCATTCCCTAGTAGCACAAAATATTGAAAAATATTGAATACATGTGTATTTAATATTAAAAAGAGATTTTCTTTTTACTAGGGTTCATTTGATATTAAATTAATAAATAAATATTCCTAAACTTCATAATTTTGATAATCTTCAATAAAAAAAAATATAGGTATTAGATAATATAAAATAATATATATATATGTACAGTTATATTTGTTAAATTCTTCATATGAAGGTGATGATAAATTAATCTTCATTTTCCCAAGGACTCTGACACGTGGACGTAACAATATCCGGCGAAGAATTTCTCGATGATGGAATATGCGATAACGTTGGCTTCAAAACGATTTCTTCTGTAGAAGATGAAACTGTTGCATCTTTGCAATTATTTCTTTCTATAGTATCTTCTTCTTCTTCTTCTTCTTGTTTATGTTTATTTTGTGGATTATTTAAAATCGATCGAATAAAATCTTGTGTTTCAGCACGTAAAGCATTAACTCGTTCCTGAAGAATACGATTACGTCGTACAAGAGCCAATGTACGAACGACAATACTAAATAAACCTAATAAAATAGAAACAAAAAATTATATAAGTATACAGTAATATAATTAATGAAACAATCTAATTATCTAATAACAAAAAAATCTTTTTATTTTAATTATATAATGTAAAAACATTTTGGTAATTTTTTTTTTAAAATATTACCAAAACAATTTCAAAGAAGATTATTGATCTTTATAATCACTTGATGAACTTTAAACTCATTTTGCATAATATTACAATTAATTTATATTTAATTATATATTCATTACCTTCACATCTTGGAAATATTACATCACATTGTTCCTTCAATTCTGTAAAAAGTTTTGTTGAAATGTTTGATGATGATATATTTATATCAACGGACTCGTGACAATGATTATCTTCGTAAAAATAATTCTTCATTGACGATGTTGTTATTGATTTTTCAACGATAGGATTTTCAACGATGTTGTTAGTTAATCGTTTTAATTTTCGTCTTTGTTGTTTTCCTTTAATAATACGACAAATTCTTTGTTGTCGACACGTGTAAAGATTTTCTCGACTTTTGACAACTGATAATTCTGGCAAGCATACTGTTGGAGCCATATTTAATTATAATTCTATAAAATGAAATAGAAGAAAAATATGTTAGGATATTATAAATTAAATATTAATATTATATTATATATAATAATTAATATATATATATATATATAATTTTATATTATTTATTTATTATATTATATAATTATTTATTTATATATAAATAAATTATATATAATTATTTGTGTATGTATATAGTTATATAATTATACAATTAAATAATATTATATATATATTATTATAATATGAATATTATAAATATTATAAATAGTTTTTTAAATATATCATACTACAGTGTATATAATTTTACAAAAAAAAAAATAATATAAAAATTATTATATTATTTTTCATATATATATATATATGTATGTGTGTAAGAATGTGTAGAAATAATTTCTCAATATTTTAAAAATAATTATTATCATTAAGTAGCGTTAGGAGAATTCAAAAGTTCATTGACCCCAATTACCAAATTCTGTGGGTACCTCGAACTATATCGATTTTGAAAAAAAAAAAAAAAGAATATTCTAAAAACGTTCGAATTAGTTTAAAAAATTAATTGGAAAATTTGATTAGAGTTCAAATAGTTTTTAACACATTGCACGTGCGAGATTATAAAGAGTCAAGGTACATATCTAACAGCACGTGGAGAAAAGTATCTTTTTATTTTATTTCCTAAGGAAACCTAAAGCCACACGTGGCAGTGAAGCGTGCGCGTGCACGCGACTTTCAGCAACCAAGAATACACATACATAATAAAAACACATGACCACATAAATACATGTAGCTTTCAAGATAACAAAGGTATCGGTTGGAAAAAAAGAAAAAAATAGAAAAATAAAAAAAAAGCTAGCTCTTTTTCTTCTTATTTTATCTTTAGGTATAGTGTTACTCTATTATGGATATCATTTGTGACATATTTTTATCAACATACGTTGTTATTAAAAAAAAAAAAAAATTGTTTATTCAAATAATTAATGACATATATGCATGTACATTATTTATAAATATAATTTCATTTTTAATTTATATATAATGCTATGAAATTTCTTTGTTTTGTTCGATGCATTATATATATCAAATGTCGTCGTGTATCATAAAATATAGATTACTTTCAATAGAAATTAAGATCAAAGAGAGAGAGAGAGAGAGAGAGAGAGAGAGAGAAAGAGAGGGCACGTGACAAACCACGTGTAATTACAAATCGTGTCAACTTTGACCCATTAAAAAAAAACCATCGCACGCAATGCGAGCATCACGTTTCATTCTTTTCCTTTCTTTCTTTTTTATCTTACTTCGTAAAATACTTTGGGAGAAAAAAAAGCAGACATATAATAGAATTAAAATTGTGTCATAATCACTTTATCAAGATATTTCTAAACATATTCTATTGAAATTGTTTATTACGTTAAATCGATGATTACAGAATCAATCTATTTCGTAATACTATAAATAATTATAATGTTACTATAATATTACTATAATATTACTACAGTATAATTTATAGTATTTATTATACGTAGTATATAATATAATTATATTACTATATATTACTATATATAGTTATTATACTATACTATATAGTATAATAAATACTATAAATAATTATACTTTATAATCAAAGTTTAAGTAATTATTACTTTAATATTCTTATAATAAATTAATATATAATTCAGTGAATTTCATTGGATAATATAATAATATATAACAAAACAAAATATTATTGCTTTTCTATAAAGAGTATACTCATTAATCATAGTAAACTGATTAACATAAGTAAAATCTCATGATCTTGAAGTATGGGTATTCTACATTAAGTACGTAATCAAACATGTGTTGTCCTTATTATTTGTACTCTGATGCACGTGGCATATTTTTATCTATCCATCTTTCACAATTATGACTCTTATTCTTTATTGCCTTTATTCGTGCTATTTTGTAACGCTACATATATATACATATCCTATATACTATCAAGAACCTAGGCTATATATATAAATATGTTAGTGTTACTTTATGAAATAGCTACATTGACCTGTTTAAATATGAAAGAGATCAGAATTACATTTTTAAAATTAGCAACGTTTCTTTTGAAATAACATTATTATTTTTTTTTTTTATTAATAATCTAATAATTATTTCAAGTTGAATTATGTGCACACACACACACACACAACAATGTTTTAAATTATAAATTTTATTATAAAAATTATTAAAAATATCTGTAGCTATTACATTTTATTGACAAAATTTGTAGATTAATTTTAATGATGAATTTTTGCACATATATTTTTGAAATATTTATTTAAGAATATATTTTTGAAATATTTGATTTCTTTTTTTTCTTTTTTTTTTTTTACTTTGTAGAAAATTTGTATCGTAAAAGAAAAGAGGGACAAAGAGAAAGGAATGAAAGGAGCTACGACACGTGCATCTCTCTTCCTTCTCTCTCTTAAGAGCCAACCATTGCCAAAAATATATACCTCTGTAGAGAAAGCAATATGTTTGGAGGTCATTGAACTACTATAGAGCTACGTGTATTTATGAAAGATTATATATAAAAACACACCCACCCACACACATATGGGTGCGCGAACGCGCGCATGGACACGCACTCACGCAACATCCTCAATTTAAAAGGGTTGGCAGTCGCGATTAAGTGACATCAAAAGGTACAAAATATAATACTAATATTAATATTAATATTAATACTAATACACTAATACTAATACTAAAAATTAATAATAAGTGTTTTTTTGTTGTTGCAATATAACCGTACCGCGTTCCAGTAACTTTTCTTACGGTACTTTTAGTGTTTCAAAAACGAATAAAAAATATTTAAAAAAGGAATAAAAATAAAAAAGAAAGAAAGAAAAAAAAGCAATAAATTATGTTTAATTTTTTATGAACTTCATGACATGGGAAAAGCTACCTTTAAATATCATTTAAATAATATTTGAATATAATTTTCTTTAATTAAAAGATTGACATAACACCTTTTTTACAAAAAAAAGAAAAAAATCACTGCTAATGGTAATACTAATAATAATAATTTAGAAAGGAAACAGGAAAATCATTAAGAAAATGTTTAAAAATAAATATTTTAGTAAATAATAAAAATTTCTTTCATTTTAAAGTTACGGATCTGTCAAACAACCCTTATGGGTATATATGTATAAATGTATTATTATTAATATTAAAAAGCAGGTGGTATAATAAATTAAATTATTAATTTAAGCAAAGGTATAATAAATTATTAATTTAAATATTAATATTGTTTGTTAGAAAACGTACGAAAAGTTGTGTTGAACGTGTGGTCAAATTAGCTTCTTTAAATTTCCTTAATTATTGTCATGTAACATGTCAAACATAAATCGAACACCACTTGTATAAGTTATTTAATTGTTACTAGAAAAAATGTTAAAATGAAACACTACAGGTATAGAATAATTTCTATAAAACGTTTATTGGTTATAATAAAAATACAAAAACACATAAACGCGGTGTTGATTCGATTTGCAATTCACTTGAACGTTCGAGCTTCTCTTCAAGACTACTAACCACAGACCATTCTGATTAGTAAACTCATTGTGATATTTCTTTTTCTGGCGCATGCGCAGAATTGCTTTTATTCATAGATATAATAAATAAGCATATTCGTAGTGAGCAAAATTCTGTCTGTAATACATTACATTTCATTCGCATTACATGCAGAAATCTTTTGCTAACAAACGAATTGTACATATAATGCATTAGCACACAAAAGAAATATTAGATTTGTAATGTGTTAATTATTTTATACAATTGCATTTATTTAAAAAAAGTGAACATAACAATACATTAAAGATATATCATACATAAAACTAAACAGAGAGAGAATAATAATTTTTTACTCTTATACGTTATTTGGAATTTTTTGTATAACATTTTATATATATATATATATATATATATTTTTTTTTTTATATTTCATTTAATGTACTCATATAAATAATTATAAAAAATGTAGTTATTTTTCTATAATAAATTTTATCTTAAAAACTAAAAGCTTCAAAAATGTTAGCTCCAAATAATTTAAGTTCAGCATTTAAGATGAGGCGTTGTAGCCATACCCTAGATACGTCTTTAGAATTAGGTTGATCTGGAATTCGTTCATTTATTATTGGAATTAATTTAGCCATAGGCATAGTGATCTTATTTATATTAACAAAATTACTATCCGAATGTTTTGAAATCTCTGTTGTAACAGAATTTGTCCAAATCATATCTTTACGATTCGAAGTTCCTGGTATTGATACTCCATTACTTGTACTATTATTATTATKTGTTTTAGTATTAAAAAATTCGGATATATGATCCATCAATAAAACGAAACCACTTCGAATATTACTTTGCATAAATTCTTGTATTTCTTCACTTTCCAACAAATCTAAAGTTGCATAAACAATTTTTGATAAAGGTTCATTCATTTCTTCTTCGCACTGCAATGGTAGCATATATGTTGAAAGATTTTCCGTTGGATTTCTACTATCTGCAGTTACCGATGACATAATAGACCAATATATTTGTTCTAAATCTCTCAATGATAATTGATCAATTAAAGATATAGACGCTGTTATTTCAATGACCTTTTCTTTTATAACGTCACATAATTTTTGTGTACCTTCGCATATAAAATGATGACATAAAGACATATACTTTGTTTTCAAATCCTCATTCTCTTTGATATTATCTCCTTCTTTTGGGGATTCTTTATACATATGGCCAGCTATTATATTAAATTGAATTCTGATAAGTACTACAAACATTACATGAGAATAAATAATTGCGGCTGATCTTGAAATTGCTAATACTTTCAGTTCGTTCCACGATGCTACTTTGTCGTTGCAACCATTTCTGAGTTTATTCACTATAGCAGTGGTATCTAAAGCTTTTGTCACTGATTCTCTTAAATTAGATGAAAGATTAAAGATCATCTGATTACACGTTCTTTCTGTACTTTCAAAATACTGACGTCGTCGAGTTTTCTCTAACATCAGTTTGATCTCTTTCTCTTGCCATTCTCGAATTTTTCTTTGAGTGTAACGCGATAAGAAAATAAAACTTCCAACAATAATACCTCCATACATAAACTTACGTTTATGACGACCAAAAAATTCTCTCACTCTTGAAAACATACTGTCATTGAAATTTATAAATTATAATCTTTACAATATAGTTCTCTTCTGATCACTTAAAAATGAAACTTAATTAAAATGTATTTAGTAATTATTGCATTTGTAAATTGTATATTTATCTTATTTCAAATCAGTATTAGAACTTTTACCAATAACAATGCAATTTTATGTATTCGCAATGAAATAAGTTGTGTTGGTGAAATGTTCAATGCAATTCACAAGACATTTTCCTATCTTGGTTCTTAATTGTAGAGTAGAGTAGTCGATACAGGTTTCCCAGCAAATGCTTGTAAGACTGTTTGTTAAATTCTGTGACAAAAATAAGATATATGTATTTTTAAAAATGAAATATTATGTAATATTTGATAATAATATAAATTCTATACTATAAAAATATACACAGAAAATAAATACCTATTAAGTATGAAAAAAGCATTGAAATTGTGCAATTCACACTTTTTTTTTTATATTATTAAATATATAATTTAGTTATGTCCAAAGAGATAAAATTTATATATAATGATTGAAATTTTTAGGTGTACCATATAATCTACATAACAAAATGGATTTATTTAATAATTAGACGTATAGTATTAATAAGAATTGAATATTCTAACCTGAAATTGTTGTTTTTTATTATCTGTCTCTAGAAAATCTTCAAAATGCAAAGCTGTCTCATCTTCCGAACTTCGATCTACGGATAAGCTCATACTTTTTACTTATTTCTCGTATTAATAATATATTCGAAACATTTGACCTTTGCTCTCTTCTTTTTATAATTTTCACATTACTTCACAAATCTCACTACTTCTACGTGCATTCTAGTTGTCCAATAGGTATCAAATATAAACATGCATAAGTATATATGTATGTTTGACACTTACATATAAACATAAAGCATACTATATTTTAGTAATCAACATTTTATATTTCTATATATAGAAATATATAAAAATATATAGATATTATGTTGTTTATTACTATTTTATTATTAAATTATAAAAGTTTAATCTTTTTAGGAAAGTTTTATTGGTAAATTATTAATTAATATATAATCAGGTGTCGATTAAAAATTTTCCATTTGTACAATTACATCAAATTTTTTAAATTCAATTGTAATAAATTTAAGTAAATAATAATTATATAAAAATTAAAAAATAATTAATAATAAGTGGAATAGTACATCAAATATAACCATAAATATAGATTGATTCGTATATACAGTTAATCATAGTGTGATTTTAAGATAATTTAGTGTTCGTGCATTAATTTGGCGCGAAGTTCAAACTTATAAATTACGACTCGAGTCGTACGTAATATAATATATTATATATTTAAGATTATTTAATATATATTAATTAAATTTATTCTATATTAATTAAAAATTTGTGTTTCCTACTAAAGTTCAAGAAGTGACAGTAAAATTTGTTTACTCTGATGGAAGAAAAGATAGAATTATAGTGAAAGGAAAATAAACGAAAAAAAGATAACAGAAGGAAACAGAAAAAAGTAGAGAGAGAACTATCATGTTTATGTTCATTTAAAATGCAAAAAGAACAATTCTTGAGATATGTAGTCTATCATTATCTATATTTCTTTTTTTTTTCTTTTTTTTCGTATTACTTCCTGAAACATATCGGAGCATGACTTTTTCGTTGCTTTTATGGGACAAAACAGTCTACTTAAAAATATAACGACCATCATCCGGTATAATCATTAATTCAATACAATGGAAATTTTAGTCATAAGATGTACACAAAAAACAAAAGAAAATGAAAAAAATGTAACTTTCTAGACTGGAAAGGTTGACAAAAAGTATACGAGTTTAAAGATAAGATTTATAGTAAGATGAACACATGTTTTTTAAATTTTACACAATGTGTGTATATATACATATATTTATTTTTTTAACAATTTTCCGATAAATCATTTATTTATTTTCAAACACTTTTATATTTCTGTACAATCTTGAATAAAATATATTAATTCAGACTATCTGAAAGATGCTTTTAATAGCAGTACACAATTTTTTAAATTGAGTACAAAGTAAGTTTATTAAAAGAATATTTCATGTCATGGCGTTTAAGATTTAAAAGTATGTCAGGACGTTGTACTGTTAAACAAAATAATAAAAAAGAAATTAAAAAGAAACTGATACTTTCCAAAAGATAAAAAGGACTACTATATAGAAAATAGAGATCACTGACATATATATTCATATAAATCAAATGTAAAAACTTAACAAAATGATGAAATCATTGATCGCTAATATATAATGATATAAGAATTTTTATTAATTAATGTTTTATTACAATTACAAAAAATTATATAAAAAGTGTTAATAAATTAGTTTCTTTTAATATATGCATATATTATTTTTGTTGAAGGTACAATCATATATAAAGATGCCTTTACCGTCAAGATGTAACTGCGCATGCGCATAAAATTTCTTCTTTACATCTGGCATCAATGTAACGTACAGTAGTCATACATAGGCGTACACCAGTAGATTGGCGTCCATTTCGTTTGTATCATGGTAGATCATAAAGAACGTGACTTTTATTCGCAAATGGATCTTCGAACAAAGAACGATGACCCACCCAATTCGCGTTTATTTGTTATTTGTCATAAATCTCTGGAAGAAGATGATATAAGGAAAGCTTTCGAAAAATTTGGCAAAATCGAAGATATTTGGGTCGTTAAGGATCGAAATACTGGCGAGAATAAAGGTAATATTTATTCTACTCGAATAAATAATCAATAAAATGTAATATTCGTCTCTTTGTCAATCACATTTTGAATATATTTTAAACGTGTTGAGGTATTCATTTCATTTCCAAGTCATAATCGCAAAAATAACGCAAATGTTTATTTCATTTTTATATATGAAAATCATTTGGTTATTATTATTATTATTATTATTATTATATAAATGAACAATTTTGTAGGAGTTACGTATATTAAATTTTCTAAGACGTCAGAAGCTGCATTTGCGTTGGAGGAAATGAGTGGGAAAATGCTAGGCATGGTTGGAAGACCTATCAAAGTGATGATCGCTTCAAAGTATGACAGAAAGATATATATTCTTCTTCAAACTTGATTTTCCTTGTTTAATTTCATTTAAAGGGTCATGCATATAAGTGGATTAGGAACATTTATTTTTGAAGGTATGAAAAAGTATTTTGCATACATCTTATTTAACTTGCAGAATGTGTATGTGTATATAATCCAAATCAGTAATAGATATCAATCAATATGAATAAATCTCGAAATTTTGCTTATAATCTTTTGATGTAATTAATTTTAAGCGAAACAGTTTATATTCAAAAGATCTGACATAAGTGCATACCCTTCTGTATTTCTGTCGGTGCATTATCAATTTTGTCTCCAATTACACATGACATAATATAAATTTATATTTATATATATAGATATATATATAAATACATACAGATAGAGAACTAACTAACTTTCTTACCTTCAGAAATAAAGGGGATGTTCTAGTAATTCCACTATTACAAATCTTATTTATCCGTCCTTACACTTTATTATTACAGTCGTGATCAAGGATCTGTGAGAGAAACAAATGAAGAGGAAAGATGGGTCAGATTGTTCTGTGTGTTACCAAAGTCTATGACCGATAGTGAATTACAACAAGAATTCTCTAAGTTTGGTCAAATAGAGTATGCGACTGTAGTCAAGGATCGTAATACTAATGAATCTAAAGGTTTTGGTTATGTTAAATTTAAAAAAGTATCAAGTGCAGCAAAAGCATTTGAGGAATGTGATAGAAAATTTAAAGCAGTGTTTGCAGAACCAAAGAAACCAAAACCTGAAAACATAGATTCTAAATATAATAATAATGGCTCTTCTATGTCTTACGATAGTCTTGGCCATGCTTCTGCAAATTTTGGAAAAAGCAGCATCAGTTTAGATATAGCTACAAATTATTCAAATCCGGAAGGATACACTCAATTAAGAGTTATTGCACATCCATGTTTAAATCAAGATCAGTTGTGGAAATTATTTGATATAGTTCCTGGTATGGATTATTGTCATTTAAACACAGATGCGAGATACAGAATGTCAAGAGGACAAGCCGTTGTGGTATATTCCAATCCAAATGCAGCAGCATATGCTAGGGAAAAATTCCACGGTTTCGAATATCCTCCAGGTCATAGAATGATAGTTAAAGCGGATACTAGTAATATGTCATCTAAAGGTACAACAAAACCTAGCTCTAATGCAGCTGTACCAGCAAGAACAGATTTAGCACATTTGGCTGAAACTATTGCTCAAGCTACATCGTTGATTCAAGCAGCAGGATTAACAGCACCAAGTGAGTTTTAAATAATAATAAACTATTTATATACATTTCACTATCATTTTATATTAATCGTAATGATATAATGAATTAATTTTAGGCTTAGAACAGACAATGTGCATTAAGTTACCTCCTGTGCAACCAATGGCAAATGTTGATGCAGAAGTAGCTAAAAGATGTTTCATCGTATGTGGTCCACCCGTACCACCTATATATGCTATGAAAGATGCATTTTGTAGGTTTGGTAATTTGATAGATGTATATATGCTTCCGGGTAAAAATTGTGGTTATGCCAAATATGCTACTGTTGCTAGTGCAGACGAAGCGATTGAGGTATGATTTGATTTTTCTTTTTTTCTTTTTCGAATGTTGCTTTTTTTTAATTATCTTTAGCGTTTTGATTTGTAATTCAAAGATTAGGCAATTTAGAAATTAAGTTATAAGATGTTTGGTAGGTTCTACATGGGCAAGAAATTTGTGGTTCACGTCTTAAAGTATTGGAGGCAGAGGAACGAAGCGTTGGGGATGATCGTAGGAAACGATTAAGAGTTGACGAAGACGAACGTTAAGCTTATTTTTGTGTACTGCGTAAGTACAAGCTGGACGTGTTAGAGAAACTGAAAGAAAGAATGAATGGGACAAAAAGACACTTACATTATAACTCCCTGACGTTATAACTGACGCTACATTTATTTTAAAAAGTTAAAGAAGATGTAATGTATCTATTTATCTTCACAGACTGACTGGTATACACAAGCTGGACGCACGCAACGAAAGAGACGAATTTTAAGACTCACTTGATCACGTTGGGCCTGCATCCAAGGAAACTACAACTACCTACTTTAACTATTGATTACGTTCGCAGCTACATTACTAAACTTCACTATTTCTTTACTTTATCCTTACATATCGTTACACATACATTTCCTATTTTTATTTTCTTATCTTGACAGGCCTTTGCGAAAAAAACAAACAAAAAATAGTTCTGTTCCAAAGTTGTTAATAAACTTTATTGCATCGATATTTTTGCCCATATCAAGAACAGGCAGTGTAGTCTTTAGACATAAATATATTTCGATTGAATATATATTTTAACTTGAGCTTTCCTTTTTTTTTTTTTTTTCATCATTACAATTGCCAGTGTGCTTATAAAACAAGATTTATTTTTCAAATCTAGTAATAATATTCGATATGCTTGAATTTTTTCAATTGCTAAAATTAGTACAGAATTGAAGAGTCAAATTTATAAAGATTTAATTGTGGCCTCAATTTATCAATGCAGATGCGAAAAAAATTTCTTTTTATATATATATAATAAATAAAGTCCGTTCAACACAGTTGTTAACATTAACAAACGTATCTAAAATATTAGAATGGCAAATCTTTATTTTCTATTTTTAACTGAAATGAATAGTAAAATGTTTAGTACTTTTAATTATCCATTTCATTTTATTATTTTATCGATAAATTATACATAGGTATGTACTTGTCAGCGTTAAATTGTATACTTTGGTTAAATCGTGTGGAAATCTTAGGTTTTATCCGAAATAACCACCAGGCGTTTTTGTAAAGTATATAAAAAGAATTCTACACTAAAATTAGTATTTTTAAGAAATATCGTTATTACATATAATTTTACAAAAGGCAAATAGAGTTAAAGTATGAGTAAATTTAATAATCTTCGCTTGTAAATTCAAGAATATTTTTCTTAAATTTAAGATCAAGTTTCAAACTCATACCACTTGTCTTTTATAAATTCTTGTACTTCTTATAATTAGTTGAAGTATATAATTTTCATTTATTTTATATTTAAATAAGTCAGTACAGTTTATTTTAGAGTTTGGCTAGTCATTTCACGAATTAGTGGATTTTACAAAGTAACGCTAACATATATACATACTTGGAATGTATGTTTAATTTTTATTTCGTATTTTGCATGCTGATTTATACAAGCAAATAATTAAAATATGAATAATTCATGTTAAAAATTAATTATTTAGTTCTTACTCGAATGTGTATATGCATTTTTATTTATTAACGCGAATAATTTATTATAAGATGCATGAATTTTGGAAATAGAATAAAAGTTTAAATACATATTTATATGGAATAAATGTGTATATAAAAGATATATTATTATTGTATATAAAATTATAGAAATATGTTTACATAGCAAAATTGATAACTGTGTTGAAACGCATGATAGATTGCTATTAAACGCGTATGTCATGTTATTAAATTAAATGAAGACATATTATCATTCGTACAGGCCTCTAAATATATGTCTGTACTTTGGAATTAGTCAAAAAAAAAAAAAAAAAAAAAGAAAAAAGATATTTTTTGTAATTTACCCAAAAGTTTTGTATACTTATCTAAAATCATGGGATATTGTATGAAACATGAATTTTAGTACTAGTTAGATTCTGTACATACCCAGAAAACTTTCACTGCAACAAGATTGGATATATTTAATTTCAATAAAATATAATAACTCTATAATATTTCAAGATATATATAATATTTTATTGCCAAAATGTGGCATATCAAAATATAATATCGTGCATGTGAACTTTATCAAAATATATTTCTTTAATATATTTCATAAGATTTTATTTCTAGAATAGTTTTAGTATAATAAGTGTTTCAAATTCATTGTTATCTTAGGTATTCACATAGAAATATTAATCAATAATAAAATTTGTAATAATATTTATTATATATGAGATTATTAACTATTGTATTCAATGTTGATCTTATTGCAGTGAAATTTTAAAAGGATAGATCATCATATACTTTCAAAGTTAAAATAAATAAATCATTTAAAATCATGGTGGCATATCTGTCAAATATTAGTAATCAACGCACAAGTATGTTTTGTCATAACTCACATTGCACCACATGTGTTAGACTTTTACTTTACTTTGCAACTATACGCAATTGAAACTCGGCGGAGACTGTAACTGACTTATTTGAAAAGTATAAAATACATATTCAATATGCAAAATTACAGACTCTTACTCATTTAATACTGGACTGAATATATATTACTACATATGTATTATTAATGCAATTAATATTCCATATTTTTTCTTCTTGATTTCAGGGCACTATTAAGCTGGATTCGACGTATTGTACCTGAAAACTGTGATATATCTTTAATTTTAAAAGGTAAATATTTAGTATACATATGGTTATATGTATAAAATGTTGTTTATAACAAGCAATAAATTATATTTTTATTTAGATTGGTTGTAATTTTAATGTACTATGTAGCATATTGTTTCATAAAAATTTCTTTTATAATATCCTTTCCATTAATTTTCTCAAAAGACCTATGAATATATTATTATGTATAAGATAACAATTTTAAATACATTCCCAATTTGCGATATAAATATATAAACAATTGTATCTTTAAAAGAATAATTACATTTTGAAATTGCCGCCGACGGAAATGATAGTTTGTAATTTTGCCGTAGATGTCGCACTATATCAAAAAATTTCCCGCGATACACAGAATAGTGGTGGGAGCATGACTCGTAAAGAGATAACAAGAGAGGGGGAAGAGCGTTTATTTTAACCGTGTATATGTATAATGATAACATTACGTGACAGTGAAGTAGCCGTTTGGAGGGGATGATGGGAATGCTATCCAGAACGATATAGGCGACTTTTCAAAGAGTGGGGGTTGTACACTCACGTGTTTTCAAACGTGCGGTAAAATGAGGAACAGTTCGAACTTGCGAAGATTTCAAGCGACATGATTTTGGTCTTTACTAGCGTAACCATCGCGAAGTCTTGTCTCCCGAGTGTTTTATATCAAATTCATATTATTCGATTAACCTATATGGACAGTTTTTTAGTTGATCGAATTATTCATTTCTCGTTTAATAAAAATATTACGAAGTGTACATTAATCCCTAGTTTGGATTAAACATTAAAAATTTCTTTTTGCGTGAATTGTAATTTTTATTCGAGTAGTATTTTTATTTTATTTTCACTTTACATATAAGACAATTGTTTTCTCTTTTCTTCGTTCTTTTATTTATTTAATAATTATTATTTATAAAGTGCGAAGTATGAATCAAACGAACATTTTTACCACGTCAGTGGTGTGATTATTATTAACGTAGAGAAAAAGATAAAAAAATAAACAGAGTTCTTCCTCAAATAAAAGTTTTACAATTCAAAGAAGACGAGATGGAAGAAACGTTAGCCGAAAATGCGAAAGTTTCGGACTCTGGTTATTCAAATACGTGCAGCAACAGTCAATCACAACGAAGGTATATATATATATATACATATTAATTAATTACTTTTTTATTTTCAAATATATGTATTTTTTTTTTTTTATTTATTTTACCCTCAAAAAAAAAACAAGCCAAAATTAGTTGTAAAAGATTAAGTATATTTAATATCGTGGAATATTACAAGACATTATTTGACCTCTTCAGTATGACGTAATTGATGATACGAAATTTAAATCTCTTAAATCTTTCCTAAATCTTTTTTATTTACTAACTTAGATTCTGTGTTGTAAATTTTACAAAAGTTTTTGATTAATTTAATAAATCATTTCTTTATTTTTTTTTTATTTTAATAAGTCATTATCGAATAAATAATATAAATCAAATGAGGTACCAATTTAATAACAAAAATTATCTTTACATTTTTATCAACCAAAATCTTAAATTGTATTTTTAAATTAAATTTTTAAATTAAAAAATCTCTGTATGTTTTGTAAGTGAAAAAAATTAACAATAATTATATATCTAATAATTAATAAAATAATTTTTCAAAACAATCTACAAAATATATCTGTTAATTATAAACATTGTCACTAGTAACATAAACAAATGATAAAAAAATTGATCATTTACAACTAAACAATTAGTTCACTTACAATTAGTTTATGAAAATAATCAGGATTCTATAAAACCTATAACTAGTATCTTGGATACTTGGCATTGACACGAATCCTTCGTATTGTAGGTGAGAGGTAGACAGAGAATGTAATGGTAAAGAGAGAGAGAGAGAGAAAGAAAGAGAGAAAAACATAGAAACTCGTATACTACGGTTAAGGCTAACTAGTCTCTCTTTCTCTTTCTTATTTTCTCTCTCACTTCTTACTTTTTGACGTAATACCCTCGATTGAATTTCCACGTTGCATTTAGCTCACCTATGCAGATATTGCAAAATGTGTACATTTAAAGGGGTCGACATAAATGTGAGCCACGTGTAATCGAAAGTAGATTTGGAAAGTTGATTTAGGATAAAAAAGAAAATACTTTTTCATGTAATACACACAAAAACAAAATAGGACAAAAATTATTGATCAATAATAATATATGTAATATATAATAAAAATTATTTGATCTAAAATAATATATTTTTTTAAATCATTCAATTGTTTCATTTACAAATACATATAATTATATGCATATAACGCATAATATTATAATTTTATAAAATATTATTCTATAATAATAGAATATTATTATATTTATATAAAATTATAATTATAAATAATAATTTATAAAATTATAAAGTATTATATCGAAATTTGGAAAAATCCTCGTACAACATGACATCCTAGAACATGGTTTTATTCTAACATGTTTTTGTAAATCCCACCCCCATATTTACAAAATTGCAATATAGTCAAATATTGCAATTGAAGAATATTTTTGTTTATATTTAAAATAAAAATTTCAATTTATAATATTTTAACTAATGAATTTTGTTATTTATCGAATTAACAGTTTTCACAAATTAAAAGTAATACTAATGACCGTATAATACGAAGGTTTTTACCTGTATATTTCTATAGACATATATATATATATATATAGGTATTATCGTATACAAGCAACATAATAGTGGTAGATTTATCTGAAGTATCCAATTATAGACATAACACGGGGATAATTTGATGAAAATAATTGCTTTGTATACTCTGAGCAATATTCTTGGTTGACATTACAAATATAGTTTAAACTGTTAATTGTATTAAATGGAGACAAGTAAAGAGACAATGGATTACGAAGTTGTATTTATAACTATCTATAATAATATATACAGAACCATTCGTTTATATATTTTTAAATACAGTTATTTTTCCCTAATTACTAGCTTATATATATATATATATTTAAATAAAAAACAAAGAAAGATGATTGAGAATATTGAATAATATAATATTGTTTTATTAATTGGACATTATTTAAATTGGAAATATATATTTATATTAATAATATATATTATTATATTAATTAAATAAATGATAATTAATAATAATTATTTAAATTATTATTTATAATTAAATAAAAATAATTAATGATAATTATTTAAATTATTATTTATTTAATAATTTAATAAATATATACATAATAATGAATTAAATTTGATAAAATTAGATTGAATTTATTTTTATCAATACTTCGAAAATAATTTGTTAATTTCTTCTTTCATTTTTTTGTTTTTTTTCTTAACGTCCTTGATTGTTTCTACTTTCAACCACGTTAACAAATTAAGCAACGAGTAATCTCAACGAGTAGTCCCCCAGTTTTTTTTTTTTTTAGCAAACGGTGTATAGAAGTCACGGGGCTAATAACGTGAACGAAACCTTCCTTATGCAATAATAATTTTTCCGGATCCGTGAGGTGCAACAAATGCAGGAGGAGAACCTGTGGCGTATTTTATTGATAGAGATAAAATGAGGACAGTGAAAGGCTAGAAAGAACTCGTTGTATAGGGGGCTGGACCATGGATCACGTTTGCCAAACATGTGATTCAAATGATTTTTCTAAATATCAAACGGGTTTTTGAGATTTTGTGTCAGCAAGTAACATGATTTTTTTAACCTGATTCAATCGGCCAATAGGACGAGGCCGTTTCAACCACTTTATAATATACCTTTCTTTCATTACAAGTCCTAGTATCTTTCATGAGGTTGATCTAGGACAAGGAAGTGATTAGATCGTTCCAATAATCGATTATTTCCCAATCTTTAGAATTAATCTGAGGAATTTATTTAGTTTTCCTTTTTTTTTTGTGAATTTGTAAGGATTCTTTTTTTTTTTTATGTAAGGTCGTATTCTAATTGATTTTTTATTTTATTTCGAATTTTTATATTTATGGGCATCTACGATTTATTGTTAATTCGTTTAATTATTATGGAAAAATTAATCTTCGAAAATTAATGTGTATATGTGTATATGTTATAATTATATATATATAATAATAATAATTATAAATATTATATATATTACTATAAAATTATATATATGTTATTATATTAATAATATAGTAATATAATATATTATTATATATATAATATAATATTATTATANATATATAATATAATATTATTATATATAATTATTAATAGAATATAATTAAAAAAATATATATTATATTATATATTATATAAATTTAATATTAAATAAATTATATAAAATATTTTTTATAAATTTAATATTTATCTATATATATTAATAAAATATATATATAATTTAATTAATTTAATAAAATGTTATTATTATTATTATTGGTACTTCTATATAAATTAATATTAGAACAATTTAAGAAAATTCATCTTGTTTTTTTTTTTTTAATATTTAAATATTATTAACGAATGAATTTTTATTTATTTATTTTTCTTTTTCAGTAGTGGCAGTTCGATTTCCAGGAACAGCATTTGTTCGGAAAGCAGCGGCTATTGCGGTAGACGCCCTTCAACTTTTGGCTCAAGGTATTTATTATTTTTTCAATCGATTTTTATAAATAACTGTTTAACTATTGGGTATATTTACGAAGGGTTTAAATGTGTCATCAAAGATGTCTATAGATATGATGAAACCTTTTCAGTTATTTTCGTTGCAATGCAGAAGGACGTTCAATATCTTCGAACATTCTTCAAAATTATTTTTATTTAACAACATTAAGGATAGAAAAATTCAAATAGAATTTTATACACTCTTTAATTATTTAATAATATGTGTGTATATTTTAATTGTTTTTTAAATTAACTCAAAGTGCACGTAAACGTGATAATACTAATTACATATATTCATACACAAACCACACACATATAATATGCATTTATATTGCATACAAATGTGTAAACTCGAATATGAATCCTTTAATAATTTTAATTTTATTTTCCATTTGTTTTTTTTTTTTCTTAACATAGATGCAAAAAAAATACATGATTTATAATATGAAACTATTAAACAATTAATTTAATGATTAAAGAAGAAGAAAATATTTAAAAAAAAAAAAAAAACAAAAAAAACCGATGAAAAATATAAATAATACGATAAACAAATTAATTTCAATTGAAATTATATTTGACGAAAGTTATTCGATTTTTGACATAATTTATATTCGTGCATACTCAATGAACGAGAAAATTTGTTGCAATGATGATCTTGCCTGTTGCATCGTATGAGAAGACCAAAAAAGAAAAAAACGGGTCTTATATATTTGTTTTATTGTTAGTTTAAGAAGAAGATACGGCGTCATAAACATTAACTCAAACGTGTCGTGCCACGTGCCTTTCGTGCAGTCCGTTAATGCACACCACTGATATACTCGTGTATAAAGTTGCATAATGGAGATAGACGGAGAATTATAAGAAATGAAGTGTTCGTGTGTTGTCTTTTAACGATTATTATTATATATATATATGTATGTATATGGTGTGTTCTTAACTAAATTATTCGATATTTTTATTCAGTAGGATAAAAAACATTATATTACTATTATAAATAGTAATATTATTATGTTATATTATGTTAGTGTATAGAATATATATATATATGTATATATAATAATATAATAATATATTAATATATAAAATAATATAGTATATATAATATTAATATTAACATTATATATAATTATTTTATATATTAACTATTATATTTTATATTAATATTAATATTAATATTGTACCTATTATTATATTATACCTACATATATATATATATATATATATATATATATATATATAGGTGGTTACTTTAAATATTTATAACAATAATTCTATTCAAAATACAAACAAAAAAAGAAATGTTCATCAATTCTAAAAGTTTCTTATTCACATCACTACAGTGTGTCCTTTGTACTGCATAAATATTAAAAAGTGTTCATAATTGTATGATATAATTTATAATTAGTTAAAAATGAATCTTGATGAACCATAATTATCCATATCTGTTTATACTTTGATAAGAAAGAAGACAAATATTTTGTTCATATTCATTTCTAATTATATGCACGTTGAAAGGAAAGTAAAACATGTTATACAATGTGTATATGTCGAGTTGGATAGAATCTGAAAACAAAACAAAAAAAAAAGGGTTCACATAAAAAAAGTAACACTTTCTCCGGTAAATTGCATAATGTACTATTCGAGCTTAGCTATTACTGTTATATCAGGGCTTTATATCACGAGGTTTTTGTTTAACCATCCTTCCGGGAGAAAGCTATCAAAGGCTATTACGAATATTCAAGAGACTTACGCGTTGGTAGTTTATAAATACGAATATCTACATTTAATAGCTAATTGACAAATGTTTTTATAAGATAAAGAAAACTACTACTAGTTTTCCCTTTTCATCGATTTCTTTATTTCATGTACTTTAATAATTATATTTTTTCTGATCTTAATGCGTTATCTTGTGATTTTTTTGAAATTAAAAAAAAAAAAAAGAAAAATTTCAAACACGTGAAAAGATGAAAAAGCTTTTAAAGTTGTTTTTCATTTTTGTTTTTTAATTAGACATCACGTTTGCTCGCACGCGTTTGATTCATTCTATATATATGTATATATGTATGTATACTTTTTTTATAGCAACATACGTATACGTATACTTGTATATTTATAGGAAAACGTATACGTGACTTATCGATTACGTGATAACGTTATTTCCTCTGTTTTCTCTTTATTTCATTTTTTATTTTGTTAAAACGACAAAGAACATACACGCGGATACTCGAGAAATGTCAATTATTTTCATTAAAAAAAAAAAAATAAAATAAAAATAAAATAAATAGAAACAGGAATATTTGCAACATACATATGCATATAATATATATATATATATATAATACCTATATAGGATGATAGTAATTTATTATTAATATTTTTAATATATTATTATAATTAATTAATATAAATTTATTAATAATATTATTAATTATTTATAATATTATATAATATATAATTATATATTAAATATAATATATAATTTTTTATATATAGGAAAATATAATATTGCATTTTATTTTATTATTAAATAAAACGTTATAATTATAAAATTCTATAATAATTGGGTGAAAATTATAAATTTTGAAATTATTACAAATTATTTTTCAATTATCTATATTATATATATTTTAACATTTTACATTATAGATAAAATTTATTTTAATAATATATCTATCTATATAATATTAAATTTATTTCTTTATTTATTTTAATGTTATATCTATATATATAATATTAAATTTATTTATTGATTTATTTTAATGATATATATCTATATATATATATATTTGCATTAGAGATAAAATTGATTTGAATATTATATCTATATATATAATACATGTATCTATATATATATCATTTATATGAATCTTAGTAACGAGGCAGTACCCCAACCAATCAACAAAAGAAAGGATAAAGAATACAAGAAGAAGAAGTCTAAAACATCATTGGTTGTTAATGCTGAGCCAGAGATTATTTTGAGAAGTACCGGAAAGTCATCGGATAACGCGTCCTATAATTTCGTCACCTCAACAAAACCGACACTTGAGAAACAAACAGGTTGGTTACTATCCAATTATATTGGGGGAGAATCGTACTTTTAACATTTTTACAATACACATTTTTAAATAATTCTTCCAATTGTGTGATAAAAGTAAAAAAGATACTTTACGTATTAATAGATGAAATTTAAAATTAATTTCTATTAAATTTAGGAATCAATATTATTTTATTTTCTAGAAAATATATTATACAGGAAGCTTATAATTTATTCTTCATTTTTTTTTTTTTTACGTTGTCATTTTTATATTATTAATTTTGATATAATAATTTTTAATATCATTTAAAGACAAATACGTAAATAACAAAGTGCGAACATGAAATGATGTTTATTTTTGTTGGTTTAGAATTTATCTTGTAATAATCAATTATTTGGTTACATGTTACACTTTTCATCTAGCATTTTGATAGATTATTATTACATTTTAATTATAAGTCTTTAAATAATTTCCCTGTAGCATTGGGCCCTTAGTCCGTCTCAAATATTTAAGCATGCAATTTATAATTATACATCGATACAAATTTCTCGTCATATTAATTGTAATAAAAAACAATGAAACAACGTAATTAATATCGAACAATGAAAAATAGTATAATAGGTACTTATTATTATTATTATTATTAAATATTATATTTACTTATATTAGATAATTAATATATGTATTATATATATATATATATAAATGTTTCTGAACTTGGTTATTATTAGCTTCCAATGATTCCTCAAGGTATCAAGCTGTAAAAATATCTTTTTACAATAGTTTTACAGGAGTTTTATAATAGAAAAGGATACACAAAGAGAATATAAAAATATAATTTCAAAATGAAAAATAAATTTGAGTCTAAAAATATGATTGTTGTCATCGTAATTAGGATTATTATTATCATATTGTATAATTTGGAAAACAATTTATATTCATTTGTTAAAAGTATCGTTGTATACTCAAAGATAGAACGGATCTTTCCCTGTAATGAATGTCATTTTACATAATACAATCACGCGGCCACAATTTACGTAATTATTTACATAAGTTTTAATATTAAACCGTTTTCCATTAACGCTTTAATAATGCAATAGATTCTACAGTTCTCTTCAATAATCAACGTTTCGGCACGCCTTTATTTGTTACGAGATCATACTTTCTCAAAAGATAATATGGTACATTATCAAAATAGATTCGTTGCACAATCCTGTTCCATTTTATGTCTTCATTATCCTTTAAAACAAAACAAAACAAAACAAAAAAGAAAAGAAAGAGAAAGCCTTATTGTCCGATACAATACATAACCTAATATTTCGAATTATTTTTATCCCGCGCATATTGAATTAAGTGATATTGGTCAACCATTGAGGAAACGTGCTGTTCATTTGTAACTGTAAATCATTTTCTATAATGCACTCGCATGTAATTAAATAATACTAATTACAAAAATGAATGTAATTATATTTATCTGTAATAGATAAAGTGTATAACACCCTTTATAAATACGTTTGTACATTATCGTAGAAAAAATCATGAATACAATCAGAATATTTGGATATATTTGAGGATGAGCTTGAATAAGTTTGATAACCTTGATTCAATAATATTTTTTTATATTATTTACGTATTATTTAATCGGACTAAGGGAAACAGAATATATATTTTGATCATTTGAATTATTACTCACTACCCTTGTAGCACACAATGTTACATTTGTATAAATATTGTGCGTATCTTTTAGAAATGAAATCTTTAAAAAAATCGTAAAATAATTGAACACAAATATAAAATAGAAAAATGTGCTACTGGGGAATAAAGTGGTATGAATAAATGTGTCCCACAATATAGTATAAGAAAATATAATTAAGAAAAAAAAAAGACTTGTATGTGCAAAGTATATAACAATAGCTTTTGTTAACGTATATACGAGAAGAAATAGCAACTGTAGAATTGGTGGATGCAACGGATCCAGGAGAACACAACGGCGATACTCTGACATGCAGTCCGGAAACAGGACTTGCTTCTCGGTCAAATCTTCTGGATGATTCAAGTTCACAAGCAAATGTTAGTATTCATCGAAAGTTAGCAAGGAAGACTCTATTAGTAACACTTTGGTAAAACAGGGAATATGAATTGCAGAATGAGAATTTAGTTGGAAGATTATTTTGATGGTATTAGGCAGGTTTCAGGGGTTTATTAAGCATGATCGAGAAGCAAATAACTCTCTCTTTCTCTCTCTCTCTCTCTCTCTCTTTATATATATAGATTTACATTTAACATTTATATGCTTTTATTCAAGTTGATGGTTATCGGTGCCTTTTTTATTTTGTGGTGGCTTTATTACGATATACATAGGTAATTTATTAACATGGTGGTAGTACTCCGTTTGAAAGTACGGAGAAAAGTGGCTTTGTTCGAAGAAATGCCACAAATAACTTTCTACGTAATCATACATATAGAATATTATTAACAAATAAATATATTCTAAATATTATACATATTGATATTGTTGTTGATTATATTTTAGGTTATTCATTAAATAATTAATTCATTACAAACAATGATACGTAACTGTAACTGTATATATACGACGTTGTACACTTTTAATACAATTTAGTAGTGAAATTTTGGTATTATATATTTACGTCGATTTAATTGATTAGATGAAAAATATTACATGCTGAATACTACGAAGGTAAAAGGATTTTTTGCCTTTACACGAATCTTAGTATTTAACACGAAGTGCAATTTTATGAGCGTTCAAGGATAAATAAATTATTTTTTGTTATTTATTAAATCTATTTATTATCTCTTCGTTAAAGATGATAAGCCGTTTTCTCTGTGCATAATTTATTATACAGCTTAATCCTAATATATTAATTATAATTATTGTAAAGATAGATGCACATTAACGACGGAAGCCTGTATTTATCAAAAATGCCACCTCAAAACATATTTCACTTTATTTATCTCTGTTATAAATAGAATTGTTGTTAGTAGAGTCCAATAAATTTTAATAACAATTTAACAATTAATAAAATATACATAAGAATAATTATAAGTTATAATAAATAATTTTATCAATGATATTTGAGAAAGAAAATAAATCAAAATCAAATCAAATCAAATCAAATAAATATCGTAAATCACGTCTAACAAATATTTTTGTACTCTCATATAGGATGGGTTTTGCGCGGTGATATCAATGCATGACGGCCTCGTGCTGTACATAACACCTTCGATATGCACAGCTTTAGGGTATTCAAAGGACGCTTGGATTGGTCGTTCTTTCATCAATTACGTACATTCCAAAGATAAGATTACATTAGCTGATCAAATTAAAAATGGTTTAGTATCATCTCAGAAGGATGATCCCAAAGGTATATTATAATTTCATTTTTCATTTAATACTATATAAATAAATATATATATTATTATATTATAAATAAACATTTCGTAATTGTATTTAGGAATTAATGAAAAGAGAGCCAGTTTGTTTTGTGGATTACGGAAAAACGTTAAGACTGATAACGTTACATTGAACAAGGATCAAGAAAATGCAAGATCCAATTTGTATCTTCCATTTCATTTGACATTGACTTTTCGAGATTTTCGTCATCAAGTTGTCGAACAACAACAACCAAGAGCCATGTTTTTAGTCGTTACTGCTCAACCGGTGCACTCAGCATACAAAGGTATCGTAATTCTAGATTACTAAGAACAAACAAATTAATCTAAAGAAGAAATACAATGATACTAAATTTTATTGTTTTATAATTATCCACAGCTCCAGAAGAAACAATAATATCTTCAATATTTACAACACGACATACCGCAACCTGCCTATTATCCCATGTTGATCCTGACGTTGTACAATATTTAGGCTATTTGCCTCAGGATATGATTGGATGTTCGTTGTTTGACTTCTACCATCCTGAAGATCTACCTTTCATCAAAGACATCTATGAAACTGTGAGCATGAATATCAAATATATCAAAATTACAATTTAATCTTTTTTGTAAAAGACATCAAAACATCAGACAAGTAGGAGCAAACAAACATCCAAATTTCATCATCTTATTCTATTATAAATTGTCATTGTTGAACAGGTTATCAAGTTGGAAGGATCATCGTTCAGATCAAAACCTTATAGGTTTGCTGCTCAAAATGGAAGTTACGTTGTTCTTGAAACTGAATGGTCTTCGTTTATCAATCCCTGGACAAAAAAATTAGAATTTGTCGTTGGTCAGCATAGAGTTTTAAGAGGACCCATGGATCCTGATATATTTCGTGTACCACCTAAAAATGAATTCGCTTTTTTGACTAATATCAGCGAAGAGGTACTGAAAGAATCCAAGATCATACAGAACGAGATACGTACTCTTCTCGATGAGGTAGGTCTCTCTTTTCATACCGACGTCAATCAAGATCTTTCTCCTCGCTTATTATAAGAAGAAAATGATAAAAGTACATACAAATTTTGCAAAGTTATTTTAATTGACGTCTCACAAAATATATTATACATATGTATGTCGGCTACTGTAAAATCGTATAATCAGTTAATTCTTGAAATAACTGAGTAATGCATACAATAATTAAACGTTTTTGTGAGAGATAATGGAAAAAGAATTTTACTCTACACTTAAATTCATTATTTTATGAAATATTTGAATATTAAAGTATGAAATTAAAAATAATTGGATTTTATGTTAAAAGAAAAATATTCTACAATTTCCTTTCAATATCTGTTTATACTGCACTGTTATAAATTATATAAAGTGTATAATAAAATTCTTTTTTTTTTTTTGTGTCTTTTTCTTTAACAACGTTTAATTATTTCATGTAACACCTAAGTTATATTCAGTGAAATAACGAAATTAAACACTTTAACGATAACATATGTATACACTTTTGTTCTAATTAAATACATATATAACGACACGCTTATAATAATTAGTAAAGGAAAGGTCACGCGAGACACTGCTATCTCAAGTAAGGTGAATTTAGTTAAAAATCATTATATTTCATGTTAAAATATTTGTTTTCTTTTTGTTTGTTTTTCTTTCATCCGTACGAACATATAGAGCATCCAAAGGACATCAGAAATTACTGAGCACGATGTTTCAAAAAGGTGTAAGGACCTCGCGTCCTTCATGGAGAGTTTGTTACAAGAAATAAGGACACCAGCTCTTGGCAAGAATACCCTAGCTACGGACGACAGAAGTTTTTCGGTGACTATTAAGCCTACGTTTTAGTATCGTCGACACTGTCTTGCCCAATTTGGCTAGTAGTACGCTAAGCTGTGCTCTGGTGGTATGCTAGACAATATTTATTATTATATCAAAACCACGGGTTTTTTTATGACAAATCCAATCACATGGACATGGACAAATGTCACTTGAAATTTCACACGTTGGTTTTACACACTAAATGCAATTTAATTAATATATTTACGGTACATAGGTATATTAGATTAACAACCAAAATTCTGTCAGATAATGTCATTTCAAATTTCAACATGTATGAAACATGATAGAATTGTGTGACAGAAATGATGACAGAACTTTCAGATCTAATATACAGGATGTCTCAGCTAAATAGAATTTTGTTCATTCAAATCTTTTTATTACAAATAAATGTGATACTTAAATGATCTCAATTAGCTGGGACATGTTCGTATATATATATATATATATATATATGTATATAAATTAATATACCATAAATATATCAAAGATATTATATACAAATAAGATTAATGGAGAAAAAGGAATTTTTTTCTAAATTTGTTCAAAAGAAGATTGATCAAAATTTGTATTTAAATGAAACATGATATTTATAAGAAATAATTTCTTTTTTCCTCCTCTTCATTGATCTTATTTTATTTGCATGATATTAAACGTAACATTACGGAAACGAAACGTTTCTGAAAACTTACATTTGATACATCTTTTCAGTAAGCAATTAGACATCTTTTGATTGCAATATTATCATCAACTGTACAAATCTATATCCAACTATTTATTCATCCAATTAAGGGGACCTTCTACTCTGAGCACCTAAAAAAAAGGCTATTTT